CGTCGTGCTAATAACGCGAAGGTCGCAGGTTCGAGACCTGCATGGGCCAAACAATACTACTTTTGATATTATTTTTATTTGTTTACCTTTCTATCTGGTTTTGTTTACGGGCTGAAGACCTGGTGGGCCTGGTCCATAATGTTTATGACTTTATGCTATTTGTTTATCTTTGGCATATGATATATAAACCTCCTATCTTTTATAAATACACTCTAATATTTTTTTATAAAATAAAATTTTTAAAATATTCTTTTAATTAAATTTTTATTTTAAGTTTTACTTTTAAAATTATTTTTCATTCATTTGCTTCTTTTATCATCTTTCTTCTTCTTCTCTTTCTCCTTCTCCTTTTTCATCATTCTATTCACTCTTTGATGATTTCATTCTTTTTCATTTTTTGTTCTTAATTTTTCATCTTTTACAATCAATATAATCATATTTTATCAATGCTATCGCATTGTTAGTGTTTGGAACATTGCAAGAGATTCCATAGTCGCCATTAATAGGTTGTGGTTCGTATTTTGTGATGAGCCTATTGGTTCCAAATTGGTCAAGTGAAGATCTTCAAAACAACACCATATCAAAGTTTGAAGGCTTTGCTAGCTCTATAGAAGGCAATTAAGTGAACTTTTTGATAGAATATCACTTTATTACTTCTTTATCTTAAAGGAAATGTAGAGATGGAAAGAGAGAGATGTTGACAAAATAGAGAAAGAGTGAGCTAAAGGCGATAGTAAGCTAAAAATAACAAGAACAAAAGAATGTAGAGGAAGGCGGAGATAGTGAGAAGAATTACTTGAAGAAAAAAATGCATATAGCCTGACACCTTTCCCTTCGACACTAAACTCATTTACAGCTTATAACAAAATAAAAAAAATGAAAAGGATAATGCAAAAATGTAAAAGGATAGAAGGGAGATAGGGAAGTGCGGAGAAGAAAGTGCCAAAGAAGAAAGGAGTGTACATAAAAATAAAGAAAAATAGAGGTGTAAATCTAAAAAATTAAAAGTTAGAAAAAATATTAAGGATAATTTAGGAATTTAATATTATTATTTTTATATAAAAAAAGGAGTGTGTTTATAAAATAAATAAATAAAAATAGAGGTGTGTCTTTTTATCTTTTTTTTTTTTCAGGTTCGAGACCTACATGGGCCAGTTTCTTATTTTTAATGTTTATCCTATTTGTCCACATTTTTTATTTTTTATTTTTTACTTTTAAGAATCTGTGATCATTACCATTGGATGTACCTCATTGCGATCTTTAATCAGTTTTCCATTACTTGTTACAAATTTATTCATTATTGGATATGAGACTAATGCGTCACAAAAAATGCAATACAGTAATAGTCTAATAGAACCAGGGCAACTCAAATATATTCCAGTCAATTTGTAGAATTCGGTGACCCAAACAGATTTTTAAATAAATCAGTTTACTATGAATTTTAAGAATGTTTTTGTGAATGGTAATTATTCTTGACTTTAGTGAAACTTTACATATTAACGGTCATACTCACCACAGGTTCTGACGATGCAAAGACGGCCAAGACCAGTGCCTCCGTGCCTAAAATGAGTACAGGTTTGAGAACTCCTTGAATCTTCAGCTCATATATGTATGCATGTTTATTGCATTGATACTTAACACTTCTCTACAAATATGTATCATTAATGATACTTATCACATGCACACAAATCACCACACCTTTGTAAGACAGTTTATATGTTGTTAAGTGCTAACAACCACACAAGCCAGTACTCTTCATCTACATATAATCATTAATTCTTCAGCTATCACTTGTTGTGTGTATAATAAAGCATCTATGTTCCTCCAAAAAAAAAGTTCTACTTAGCAAGAATGAAAGTAAGAAAGATTGTTATTATTTTGTAACACATCTCATGGTCAAGGAATTTTTTATTATTATATAATATTTTTTTAAAAAAGAATCCCAAAACAAAGCCCCCAAATTTATTTACAGAATTAGAATGGATTTCGAATGGATTACTGTAACCGGAATTCGGTTTTTGGAAACACTGAAAACCGAATTCCGAACGGTATATTTTATTTTATTTTTACGTAAAAATTATTTTATTAATTATATAAATTTATATATAAAATAATTTAT